ATCCCAGTCCCGTGCCGGAGGGACCGATCAGGTGGATGAGCAAGCCGAGCGAGGCGATGGCGGCAAACAGGGCCAGACCCTCACGCCATCCCCCAGGCGGCGCTGAACGCGCCTGCCGCGCCTGCGCCGAGCGGCGCTGGCCCGACGCGGACCCGACCCACAGCACCACCACCACGCCCAGGCTGGGCAAGAGCCAGCCGAGGTAATGCGCCAGATAGCTCAGGCTGCCGGTCGGCCTGACGACGAGGATCAGGTGCAGCGCAGCGCCGAGGGCCAGGAGCAGCGCGAAGACGAGTCGGGGGCGCATGGGGCGGGATTGTGCACAGTGGATCGGAGGCTTTAGCCGAACGCCAATCTGCTCGGCAGTGGCGGCCAGCCTCGGTCTCTGACACCTGCAGCAGGCTGCAGGTCGAGCGCGGGATAGCATCCCGGCGCGAGAAAAACACGCCCCCCTGACGGCCACGTCCGTAACAGCGCCGCACGTTGATCCCGAAAGAAAGTGCCCTCCGCCCATTCGCAATCCTGCAATAGTCCAACACCCAATCGCATGCTGATCCCAGACGCACTGACACCAAAAGACCCGCTGCGCGTATTCGACTTGGTTCGAGCGGCAGGAGTCGATGTGACTGACTGGAAGAACTTCGCGAAAGGCACCGCACACGAAGCATCCAATCCGAAGTATTGCTACGAATGGTCGTTCGTGCAGCCGGGGCGTGTTGTGGTGCTCAAGCTATGGCATGACAAGCTCTTGGCGGATAACGGGCATATCGAGCAGCATCTGAATTTGGTCGCAGACGCCTTGCACGACGGGAAGGGGCCGCGGGCGAAGCGACGTGAACGGATGCGGGACGCGATCGAGAATGCGATAAATCAGAAGCTGCCGATCAGAGTGATCGTCATGAGCGCACGTCCCCTCCGGCAACTGAAGAACGGCATTGCACGACGAACCGTAGCTCTTCAGATCCTGGACCCAGTCCCGTGGGGTGTAGTCCGACGTCAGGCGAATGGCTTGATCGTTCTTCGTCGTGGCGAACCCGCAGCTCCGTATGTCGATCAATTCGATCTCGCGGAACTCGGAAGCGAAAAGCCGACGAGGAAGGAGCTGCCAGCGAGCTCCGCTTTTCTTCGCAACAGCAACGTCAGAAAGACCGTCCTCCGAATGGCCATGGGACTCTGCGAATTGTGCAAGCAGCCCGGCTTTCAACTACCAAACGGCAGCGTCTATTTGGAGACGCATCACGTCATCCCGCTGTCTGAAGGAGGAGCTGACAAAGTCAGCAATGTGGTTGCGATTTGCCCTAACGACCATCGCGAAGCACACCATGGCAAAGAGGCCGCCACTAAGCGTAAGCAGCTTCTGGAAATAGTTCGCAAGAGAACGTCGCAGGGCGAGTGTGGTCCGGTCTAGGCCGGAAGCCCGAGCTGACGTGCTCGCAATGGGCGGGCAGGGCTAGCAGTTTCAATGGTGAGTGGGCGCCTAGGGCAGCGGCAAGCCATCGGCACAATAGTTGTCGGACCCATGAGCCGGTCGCAACGGCGGGTAGACAACCACCGCGATGGCTCCTACCTCACCGCCTCCACCGTGAACACCGCCGCCCCATAGCCCGCCGCGCAGTTCGCATGCCCGCAGTCCGGCTGACCCAGCAGCCAGTCCGCCTGACCCGCAGGCCCGCGCGGCGGCAGCGTGAGGAAGCCGTAGGTGGTCTCCTTCTCGGTCGCCCACGCGGCATAACTGCGGGGCTCGGCGGTGACGAGGACGAGGAAGTGTTCCAGGCCCGGGGGGTCGCTGGCTTTCAGCGGCCAGCTGGCGCCGGGCAGGCGCAGCGTCGCGCCGGCGCCGATGTGGTTGTTGCGGGCGCGGTCGTTCGGGAAGAGCTGCAGCAGGCTGCCGTCCGGCCCGGCGAGCAGCACGTAGACGTAGCCCTCGCGTGACGACGTGAGGCTGAAGCGCAGCTCGTCGCGGTCGATGCGCAGCGTGGGGCGCTCGGCCTGGGCCTTCACGTCGAAGCCGCCGCTCTGGCGCGCGACGATGCGATGGAACTGGGCGGCGAGGTCGCCCGGCTCGGGCTCGGCCGCCACGGCGGGCGGCGGTGAAGGCGC